GGAGACCAAAGCCCCAACAAGAGAGGCTTTCTCTGATCTCCAAGGAGTGGGGGATCCAAACTCTGTCCTCAGCCTGCCTCTGAAATGACTCTGGTTCTGGTGCTAACCCAGATGCGGTTGCTGCTGGGCACTGTTCTTACTAGCTCGGTTCTCCAGCAGCCCCCGCCCCAGCCCCCAGATGTGCGAATGGTAGAATGAATGGGTGGCTGCGGCTGTGCCAAGGTGTGACTCTAAATATCCTCAGATTTAATCCCCAACTCCCTCTCCTGCTCCGCGTAGCATTTTATTTTTCTTTATCAAAGCAGCAAGGATGTTTCCTTCTCTGATTAGTTGGTAATTGGGCACACAGGGTTTTTCTGTCAAAAAGGAAGGCAGCTTGAGCCAACTTCAGTCACAAGGACAAGGAGAGGGACTGGGAAATAGAGAAGAGAGGTGGGTAGCGGAGGAGAAGGAGAAAAGGGTGTCAGTGGAAGAATACAAGGAAGGAAAGAAAGAAGGAAGAGGAGGAGGAAGGAAGGTTAACTTGCCTTCCACCTCAGGCTTTTTGGCCTTTGTGTTGTGGCTGAGGAGGAAATAGCTAGACAGTTATGGGTAATGTGCCTGCCCCAATATTTTTTTTCTTAAGGTTGCAACGTCGAATAAGCTCATGGTAAAGTGTTATATTATCCTCAGAGGACATCCCTGGATGCAGCCAAATCTGCTAAGGACTCCTTGGGGAAATTCTTCGCCTGAAATCCAGGTTCCCTTTCTGCTGGCCTTCCTTGGGCATTTGATTTAGAATATGTACTGGGGTCAGTGATGGAAAAGTACACATATCTCTGTTGAATGAAAGAATTAAGACAGGCAAGGGTTATGCTTTGTGGGTCTGGCAGAGGAGGAAAGTGGAGCCCTTTCATGATGAAAGAGTGAGTTTATTGCAAGCCTACAGGTGCACTCATGGTCACTGTCCTCAGACCCAACTTGATCTCCCATCTAGCTCTCAGAGTATTTATCAGGACCACACAGGTGCTAGGATGTTTCTTCCTGCTACTAAAATTAATGTATCTCCTCCAAGCAATTCCTGCAGAGATCATCTGACCCCTCAGGGTCCCCATGGCATCTGCCAGAGCTTCTGGAACACAATTGGTGGTGGTGGTGGTGGTGGTGGTGGTGGTGGTGTGTGTGTGTGTGTGTGTGTGTATGTGTGTAAAAAGATGGGAAGAGTTACATGGTTGTGGACACCCAGTCCTTCTCCACCTCTATAGAACTTAAATGCACAATTGAAACTAGGCCTATTAAACTTTTTCCAAAGCTGCAAGCAAAGGATGTTGTTAGCTTACAGAGTCTACAGAATCACTCCCTTCCCTAAGTTGGGAGGAGGGGGTGTTACTTCAAGGTAAGGGGCATCAGAAAGCAGGGGCCATCCTCCAACAATGGGTCCCAGGAAGCACTAGCTTAAGACTCTGGCCTTCCTCTCTTTAACTGCTCAAATCTCCACTTTTCTCTTTGGTAATCAGACCAAAGCATTGAAAGTTTTATGTTAATGTAGCAGAATATATGTCCTAGTGATGGGGAACACACAGTCAGGAAAACATCATTGCCTGAAAAAGGAGAAATGCAGTCATGCTGAGGTCTGTGATTAGCAGGATTCACAGAGAACATAGACTTCTGGAG